AAAAAAAAAAAAAAAAAAAAAAAAAAAAAAAAAAAAGTACACTAATTTTCTTCTATAAAACATAAATACTACAAAATACTACAAACCAGTATCATAAGATAACTGGTCTGTCCAAATGAAGATTTTAATATCTGATAGAAAAATAATTGTGAAAACTAATTTTGTTCTTTAACACCTAAAAAGAACGCTATAGCTCAATGTAGATGAAGTCTAATGAAACAAAGACTTCTCATGAGGCAATGACATGAAGTCTAAATGGAATTTTAAAGATGAAAGGGAGCTAGTAGGCAATGCATGTTTGACTCTGTAGAAGCAGCAGCATTTGGACACACGTTAGTGTACTTGGAGAACTTGAAAGGTCAGGTCAGTATGACATAGACCTTGTATGTTTTGTTCACCATTAACCAGTAGTTTACGTGGTAACTGGTGTGTCATAGGCACTCAGGAAATGTTTGCTGAGTGAGTGGATAGAGACATGGGAGAGGTTTGAATTGATTTAGGAAAGGCAGATACCCAAGTTATAGGAGGGTCTTATGAGCTGTGCTAAGAATGTATCCTGGAGCTCACACCATGAGGACAAGTTTGAGGGGATTTGAGCAAGAAAGTGGCAAGTTGATGTGTTTCATTTTAAGCAATCTTTCTGGATACTCTTTCATTATTTTTGACGAATAGGAAGAGATTATGTAATGTAGGCTTTTACAGTAGTGGATTAGATGTGAGAAGATAGTAGCTTGGAAAATGTTAGTGGTTATGGCATTGTAGAAAGGTGACAGGTTCCAAGAAGTTCAGGAACTTGAATTGATTGTACTGTTGAGTTTTTAGCTGTAAGATAGAATATGAAGATTTCATGGTGACTCCCAGGTGCTGTCCTGGTAACTTGGGAGGAGAAATTTTGATTTTATGGAGCTGAGTAAGCTCTTCAGCTGTGTGTGTGTGAATTAAGCTTCAGATACCAATTATGGGGAATTTAAACCCATTTAAGCTAAGTGTGAGGAATGCTATTTAAGTGGAAGGTGGAAACCAAGAAACAGAAAAAAGTACCAAATGTGGATGGGATATTTGTAGCATGTGAGTTATTGGAGACTAAGAATGTTCCATGACAGTAGTAGAGGTTCTGTTAAGTGGATTAATAACATGCAGGTTTAACATTTCCATTGGAGTCCATGATCTGGTGATCTTAGTAGGAATAGTTTCCATAGAGAATATTTAGTGAATTGTAGAGACAATGACTGTGGTATAAGAGACCAACAATGAGAGAGTATAATGTAAGACAGCTCAGGTAGAAAGTTGGACTGAATGGAAGGAGAGGACAGTAGTCTAGAGATGAATGAGGAATTTACCTTTAGTTCTTCTCTGAATGCTTTTTATTTATTTTTTTTTTTTTACAATAAAGATGTTTTTATTTTTATTATTGTCATTTATTTATTCAATTTGTATCCTGGCTGTGGCTCCCTCCCTTGTCTCCTCCCAGTTCCACTGCCCCTTCCTCTTCTTCTCCTATGCCCCTCCCCTAGTCCCACTGATAGGAGAGGGCCTCTTCCCTTTTTATCTGACCCTAGCCTATGAGGTCTCCTCAGGACTGGTCGCATTGTTTTCCTCTAGTAAGGGTGCAATCCCAGGGTTCGTGATTAGAGAGCCCTGCCACTGAGTTCATTCCAGAGACAGCCTCTGTTCCCGTTACTAGGGAACCCATTTGGAGACTAAGCTGCCTATGGGCTACATCTGAGCAAGGGGTCTAGGCAATTTCCATGCATGGTCCTTGGTTGGAGTATCTGCCTCTGCAGGACCCCCGGGTCCAGATTTTTTTGGCTCTGTTGCTCTCCTTGTGGAGCTCCTGTCCCCTCCTGATATTTCTGTCTCCCCCTTCTTTCATAAAATTCCATGCATTCTGCCCAGAGTTTGTCTATGAGTCTCATCATCTGCTTTGATGCTCATCAGTGGGACCACATGCTGAATGCTCGTCACTCCCCAGCCTCTGGAAAGGTCTGAGACTGGGGCTTCCCGCGGCCCTAACCGGGCTCTCCTCATATGGGGAGGTGAGTTCCCAGAGAGCAGGGCTCCGTAAGTGGGCAGACTGGGCAGGAGATTCCCTGTGTGGGCGGATGCCTCCTTCACTGGATGGAACAGACTCCATCCAGCACGGAAGGAGCTCTGAATGCTTTTTATATCTTATTCTCCTTGAAATCCAGTCAACACAGAAGTTGTGGATGTTTTCTTTCCCGTACCTTCATGTTCTTGGATCATGGAGTGGGGCAGGTGTTCTGATGGTTCACTTTATCTTTCTATGTTCTTTCTTGCCTCTATTTAAAAAATCATATCATATTTTGCTACCCACTGTTCCTGCCTTATTATAGTAACCTGTTGAGCCTCAGATTGAAGTTCTATCATACTATCATTTCCAACAGGACCTCATCAAATTTTGTTGCACTTCTGCCTAATTTTAGACAGTTTGACTATGTAGCCCACATTGGAATTGTTCTTGGAATCCTCCTGCCTCCCTCAGCCTCTGACTATGGAAATTAGGCCTATGCTCACATGCCACCAATGCTCAAATTTGTCAGAGTTTGGCCAGTTAAATACTCATTTGGACAATCATTTCAATATCTTGACTTCACAAGCCCTTGAGTTAGTCATCTTCAGACATCTTACTCTTATTGCCAGTCTAGGGTATTTCTGCTTCTCTTTTTAGTACCATGACTTCAACAATTGTCTGACTCTTATTGAACATAGAATCTATTAATTCTGTGTTTTGACTGTCTATTATTTCCCAGGATGCTCAGTTCTATCCTTTCCTATCTTTTTTTTTCCCCCCTTGAGACAGGGTTTTTCTGGGTAGCCCTGGCTGTACTGAAACTTGCTCTGTGGACCAGGCTGCCCTTGAACTCAGAGAGATCCCCCTGCCTCCCAAGTGCTGGGGTTACCGGAGTGTGCCACCACCACCCAGCCGTCTTTACCAGTCTTAAATCCCAGGATAAGTCTGGCATTTACACGTCTCACCCTCTACTTTCTTGCTTCTTTTTAATACTTACCAGGCAAAATCCATTCTAACTTCACTCTGGTTTTTGCTCCCTGTACCAGTGCAATTGATTGTAATTCAAGAAAGATAACATGTTCATAGGTGAACTTTCTCATGTCGTTTATTGTTCAAGTGCTTTTTTTTCATTTTTTTTTCCTGCTTAAATTTCTTGCATGCTGAGGTTACAAACTTGTGGAATCATGCCTGTCTTTTTGTAAACTTTAGTGTTTTCCCAGTCTCAATTTATAACAAAGTGCCTCATTTAATTGGGAAATAGAGGGAGAGGCAGTGGGCTTTACATGCTCCCACCACCACCACCTCCTACCCCCTCTGTGCTTATACACTACTGATAGAAACTATTAAAACAAAAATTAGCTCTTTTTCTTCCCTGCTTACGGATATTGTTTAGCAATCAACCTTTCTCCTGCAGTATTAATTTTTCTTCCTCTGCTGGACCTTTCTCATCAGCATTTTAACATAGTATTTCCTTCATCGTAAAAGTAGTTAAATAAGCCAGATTGCTCTTCCTGTAATCCCAGCACTCAGGAGGAGGGTAAGATTGATCAAGAGCACAAGGCCAGTCTGGGCCGTTTGAGACCTTATTTCTAAACAAAACTGTGGCAATAACAACAACCAAGGAACAGTTACAGAAGTATAAATACAACTTTGTTACTTCTTTTTAAGTACTGGGTTGGCACTTAATATGGATAGCCCAGGCTGGCCAGACTGAAGGTAATTCCTGCAGGGTGCTGGTGTGTATCACTATACTAGGCTGATAAAACTATTAATATTATTTTTTTTCATTTTATAACAGCATCTCAAAAGAAGTTTGTGTGTGTCTATGTGTGTGCATGTACATACAGCATACCTGTAGATCTCAATTTATTGGAATTGGTTCCTACCTCTGGGGATCAAGTCAGGTTACTAGACTTGTGTGGCAAATGCCTTTACCTACTGAGCTGTCTCTCTAGCCTTCAAAAAGGTTTCTCATTTGTTGCAGTTATTTTTATAAAACTGTGTTTGTTTCTCTCTCTTAACCCAGCTATCACCCAAATAATTAAGAGTATTATATTATTTTAATAAGCTTCACAACACAATAACAGAGCAGTTATTGCTCTATTCTTAACCTTCTAAGCTAATTTGGTTTCCTCCCAGTGTACATCCCAGAGATACCTTTGCTGTCTTGCTCCAGCTCTTCTCTCCCGATATTCCCTAGACCTCTGCCTGTGGCTAAATCATCTGCTTCTTCCTCTAACTCCTCCTCTCCTGGCTGGCAGGAAATCCGGCCCTATTCTTTTCCCTGCTCTGTGATTGGCTGTAAGCTGCTTTAATGGCATATCAGGGGACAACTGGGGATCAGTGTTTACACAACATTGAGACAGGAGAGTCTTAGAACAAGGATTGCAACCAGATATGGGGTGTATAGAAACCAGCATTTGAATTACAGAATAACTTTATACCTACACTCATTTCTTACACTCCAGAAGTAGTTTTGTAGATTTCTTTCTGTGCAGTCTGTTATCATTTCACAGTGGCTTATCTCACCTAATTCAGTTCTTAAACCATATCCTTTTGTCTACGTTTTATACAATTGATCTTGCCTTCTTCAAACACTGTCTTTTGACATCCACAAAGATTGTATTACTTTTTAAACATGTATTAGTGTTTTGCTTATATATGTGTCTGAACTACATGGGTGGCCTTGAAGACAGAAAAGGACACTCAATCCCCTGAAACTGAAATTACAGATAGTTCTGAGTTGTCATGTGGCTTCTGGGAACCAAATCTGCATCCTTTGCAAGAACAAGAAGTGCTGTTAACCTCTGAGCCCTCTCTGTAGTCCCTCTGTCAGGACTTAGTTTATGTGTTGCTGTAGCAAGTTTCTATCAAACATGTTTAGACCCAAACTGAGTTAATGGACTGTTTTTCCTTTCAGACAGACTTCACTCCATTGTCTTTCATTTTGGCTGGTGAGAACTCTGTGTCTGGAAATGCTTTCCCTGTCTGAGACTTATTTCCATGTATTGTTTTCTCATCTTCCTTGGCCAACCAGGAATCCTTTCAAACTGTACCCACTTCTCCAAGTTTAATAGTACTGTTGTTTAACTTCATTGTAGTTGTCAGTATTGCCTTACTTTATTGAATGTTGTTTTTACTCAGCAGAATGTTAAGATTTGGGAGGTTGGTTCTGAGACATGGTTCAGCAATTAAGCACTGGCTGTTCTTCTAGAGGACCTGAGTTTGATTCCCAGCACCTACATGGGGTTACAAAAACATACATAACTTCAACTCCAAGAGATCTGACACTGTGGCCTCTGAGGGCACTAAATACATTGTGTTTGTGTGTGTGTGTGTGTAAGAGGGACATGGTGTTTTTGTGGATTCGATGGTGACATACTGAGTTAGTTTAGTTTTGTTGTCATTTTTTCTAAAAGTAGGTGTATCATGCTAGATAATGTTGGAATGCGGGGTGATTTTGATGCCAGAATAGAAGTTTTCAACTAATTCTTATTTTAGAAAGTATGAGGAGACAAATAGTGTGAACTGTTGCAGTCTACTGAGAAATCTAAGTTTAAAGTGGCTTCATTTTCTGTGTGATGACTATTCTTCGTAAAGCTTCTTCAGGGGAACAGAGTAGCAGATAGAACAGAGTCATAATTAGTATTTACTGTCATCATTTACCGAGTTATTTAAAAAATTTAAAGGTTCTAGTTATTTAGTCCTTTGTTGAACATCATGTTACCCATAAAAGATGTCATTAAAATTGTGGTCTTACTGAAGCACTAATGTAACATTTCCTTTAACATTGTTTAAGAAAAGTTTATATTACTTTATATTCAACAAATAGATTTAGATGTGGCTTTATTTATTCAATTGTAGTTGGATTAGTTAAATACTTGCATAGAAGATTTGTATTTGTTCCTTTCTTTAGGAGCAAAGAGGCCCCGTGCCACTTCAGGGGGTATTTCAGAGTCTCCTAGTGGATTCTCCAAGCACATTCATTCCAACTTGGACTTTTCTCCAGTAAACAACAGCAATAGGTAAGACTTAGAAAAATTAAGTAATTTTTTTTGTTTGTTTTTTGAGATAGGGTTTTTCTGTGTAACCCTGGTTGTTCTGGAACTTGCTCTATAGACCAGGCTGCCCTTGAACTCACAGAGATCCACCTGCTTTGGCCTCCTGAGTGCTGGGATTAAATGCCACTGCCTGGCATTAAGTAATTTTTTGTTTGTTTGTTTCTGTTTTTGTTTCTTTTTTTGAGATAGTGTTTTACTAAGTAACCTTGACTGAATTGGAACTTGGTAGCCCAAGCTAGTCTTGAACTTGTACTGATCCTCCTGTGTCTTCTTCCTGAGTACTGGGATTACAGGTGTGCACCACCATGAATTGGCACATGAAGTCATCTTTTTAAGTGTTACTATTCCCCATAAACAATAAAACATATGTAGATATTTTATGCAACTAATTTTACCAAAATGAGAATGACTATGTGATATGATAAAAGCCTGGTGGGTTTTATTCAAAGACATTTTTAGTCCGACACTAGTACACACACTTATTATAGTCCCAGATAACTGCTAATTGGAAGGTTGAGGGAGGAGGGTAGACAGTTCCAGGCCAATCTAGGCAACAAGATGCAATCAGTTTTTTGTTTTTTTTTGAGACAGGGTTTCTGTGTGTAGCCATGCTGTCCTGGATACGCATTGTAGACCAGGCTGCCCTCGAACTCAGAGCAATCTGTTAACCTTAGCCTCCCTCAGTGCTGGTATTACACACCTGGCTAAGATGCAATCTTGTCTCAAACAAACAAACGTAAACCACAAAATAAATAGTTAAAAAAATGAAGTCACCGTAAAAACAGAGAGTTGAAGTTGTATTTTTCTTATGTCTTAATGTCTTAGTGAAGAAAACGTGAAGTACTCTAGTTCCCAGCCAGAGCCGCGGACAGGGCTTAGCTTGTGGGATACTGGTTCCTCATATGTTGACAAACTGGTACAAGGCATCAGCTTTTCACAGCCTACGTGTCCTGATCATATGCTTGTAAACAGTCAGTTACTTGGTACCCCTGGATCTTCACAGGTAAGGAATTTGATCTTTCAAATAAAAAACTATTGCCTTTTATTTCTGTTGCCTTAAATCTTAGTTTTATGGTATGAATACTTTTAGTTAATATATATTATATGAATAAGGAAGAAATAATTAAAGGAGGCCTTTATGGGAAAGAATCCTAAGTTAAAGAAAAGAATTTCAGACTAATTGCTGTAAACTGCTCACCCTGGATTTATTTAGCTTTCTTCTTTGATGTATAGAACCCCTGGCAGCGCTTGGTCAAAAGAATGACCCGATTCTTTACCAAATTGGACGCAGAGAAATCTTACCAATGCCTGAAAGAAACCTTCGAGAAGTTGGGCTATCAGTGGAAGAAGAGCTGTACAAATCAGGTATGTTTTGTTAGTTTCCTATAGGAAATTAAATATTTGAGTAAAAGTTATCAATAGCAAATGAGTATTTTAAAAATACAACCAATTTTATTTGAAAAAGAAACAATTGGAGGTTTTTTAGATTTGTGTTTATGTGTGTGTGTTGTTTTGTTTTGTTTTTTCAAGAACCCATGACGCTGCAGTCAAAGATGTTCTTTTGTCCATGTTTGGAGCCTTGTGGTGGCTCTTGGCTGTGCTTTTTCTTTTCACACCAGTCATCTTGCTCAAACTCCTGGACCTTCACTGTCATCTCACTGTAGTTCCAGCCTTTCAGCCACAAATACAGCTTCTAATTTTCTTTCTTGTATTGTTTTCTTTTTGCTGTTGTTTGTTTGTTTTTGTCTTTTTGAGACAGGGTTTCTCTGTGTAACAGAGCACTGGCTGTCCTCGAACTGGATTTGTAGTTCAGGCTTTCTCTGAACTCAGGTCTGCCTGCTCTGCCTCCTGAGTTCTGGGATTAAAAGTGTGTGACAACATGCTTGACTCTTTCTGGTATTCTAGTGATCTTGTTTTTTTTCCCATATATTTGATTGATTGAGTGATTGATAGATTTGCTGCAGTATTGCAGATTGAACCCAGGCCTTGTATATGCGGGTCAAGTACTTTACCACCAAGCTACACCTCTAGTCGTCATTGCTATACCTGTCTTCATTCTGTCCCTACTCCTTTTTGTTTTTCTTTTAGTTCTGCCTTGCTAAAGGGATGTTGTTTGTTACTAAAATTTCATTTAGACTCAATTTCTACTTGGTTTAGATTGGATAAAAACATGCCCATTGAGTTGAGAGATACAGCTTTTTTTTTTTTTAAGGGTTTTATTATTTTTTTATACTTAATGTATACTGAGTGTTTCAATGTGTATATGCCTATATATATGTCTGTGGAGGCATCAGATATTTTGAGCTAGAACTATAGGTGGTTGGGAGCCTCCTGACATGGGAGCTAGAAATGGAACTAAGGTCCTCTGGAAAAGCGAGTAGCAAGTTTTAACCTGAGCCATAGCTCTAGCCCTGTCATGACACTCCTGTTATGCAAACATTGTGTAAACTTTTATTCCAAAAGTATTACTAATCTGTTGATAGAGTTTTTCTGTTCATGTATGTATGTGGCTTGTCCTCATTTTTGTTGCCTTAGGTTACTGTATCAACAACTGATAGAAGAAACAATAAGTTGATTTTCAAAATAAATTTGGTAGAAATGGATGAGAAGATTCTGGTTGACTTCAGGCTTTCTAAGGTAATTTTTAGATATTTTATCCATAGTGATTTTTTCTATGGAAATATTTCTATATGGATTTTTAAAAATGGTTTTATATTGGGCTGGAGAGATGGCTCAGAGGTTAAGAACCCTGGATGCTCTTCCAGAGAACCTGAGTTCAATTCCCAGCAACCCTATGGTGGTTCACAAGCATCTATAATTGATGAGATCTAGTGCCCTCTTTTGGTATGCAGGTGTATGTGCAGACAGAACATTGTATACATAATAAATAAATCTAAAAAATAAAAATAAAATATTTGTAATAAAAAAAATTAATTTAAAATGGTTTTATATTTTACATACAATTTTTACATTGTTGCTTTCTAAAGTTTGGTAAGTTGAGCACAATTCTGATTAGCATGATAAATTCTTATGCTGTCTCATCCTATTCCCAACTAGGATGTGCATTTTCTTTTTGCTTAAAGCAAATATCTTATGCATATATTTTTGCCTATTATTTATTTTGGTTTTCATATTGACTGTCGAATTATTGAATGCTTTTTTTGTTGTTTTGGAGTAGCAGTTTTTTAGTAATGGCTCAAAGGGTAATAATGCTGGAAATTTTATTATAGAATATTGTTACAATTGTTCTATTTTACAATTGCTCTATTTTACTATGTCATATTTACAGATTAAATTATACATAGCTATATATATGTAGGAATGCAAATGGCACATGCCATGTAAAGTTTCATACTCTGTGGTTTCAGACTTCCACAGGAAGTTTTGGAGAATAGCCACATGAATATGTTACAACTTAGTTATTTGGCATTTGTAAATATATAACTTGCTTTTTTTCATTTAGTGTTATACAATTTGACTTTTGCCATAATTTTTTTTCTAAAATACTTTTTGGTTGTTTCTCTCTCTTTCCTGACATCTTAGTATAAAAATCTTGAGGGGGCACATATCACAATTTGTAGAGTGCTCACTTAGCATGCACAAAGCTCTGGATTGGATTCAGAGCACCAGATAAAGCCAGGTGTGATAATATATGCCTATATTTCTAGCACCAAGTAGGCAGGAGGATCAGAAATTCAATGTCATCATAGGCTACTCACCTAGTTTGAGGCCATCCGTACATGGAACATTGCTTTGCCTAAGTTATTTTTCTTTTTTTGTACAGTATACAGATAAATAAAATAAAATAACTTTAAATTATACTTCCCAACACTTTGCATTCATAATTATTTTGATTCATATGTAATACCTGTCTTTTAAATAAGAGTTATGACATTAAAAAGCTTGTATGTTATAATTTAATGAACCTCATTAGATTTTTGCTTAATAGTATGATTTTGCTTACCTATTATTTTTAATTTAAAAGCTTATTTTGTATAAAACCAAACCAGTATAATACCTGTTTCTTGAGAGTTTGTATATGGCTCTAGAGAAGGCTGAAGAGTAATTCACGTTCTTTATATTGGAGACTAGTTACAGTATTCTTTCCTAGATTTTTAGTATATATTAAATTATGAAGGCTCCTACTCTAATAAAACTAATGTCATAACTGACTTTAGTGCATTTTTGTGTGTGCTGATAATACTGTGACAAGACTGTGGCCTGTTTTCAATTCACAAACTCCTGCTTGTGTAGCTCCAAAGCTACTAACCTTTGAAACACAAAGAATGCTGTTTTTCTGCTTTCTCTGCCCAGTGTGTTGAGAAAGTGAACATATAATCAGGTCAGTTATTCATGTAGCCATTCCACCAGAATATTTGGGCTTCACATGTGGACTGGACTCAGTTTGCATTTAATTAGTATTAAGGAAAGAACCCATAACGTGTTATAATAAGCTGTTCAAAAAAGTCATTCCATTTATATGGAATGACTAACTAAGCTGGAGTGGTGGTGCATTCCTGCAGTCCAGTATTCTCAGAGAAGAACAGGGAGGAGGGAGAAAAGAGGACCAAGAGACACTATAACTAAACATATCTCAGTGTGTTTGTTTCTACTGACCAGGAATGAGAATGATCTTTTGACACAGTCTTTTTTTTTTTTTTTTTTTAATATTTTAAAAATATTATTCCTAAAATAGGGTGATGGATTAGAGTTCAAGAGACACTTCCTGAAGATTAAAGGGAAGCTCAGTGATGTTGTAAGCAGCCAGAAGGTTTGGTTTCCTGTTACATGATGAAGCTGTCAGCCCTGCAGATTCCTGGTGAATATTGTGCTGCTATGTTGACATTATTCTTCCTAGAGAAGATTATCATTCTGCAAACTGCAAACAATGGTTTTTTGAAGAATTATCTTCATTCATAAACATCTTCCAATTCTTAGTATGTTTTGCATACAAATAATACTGTATCTTAATTGTAATACTTAGGGGAAAGGATGGATCAAATTCATTAGGGGTTTCTCCAACTGTGTTTAAATTGCCTGAATTTGAAACCTGTCTGGCAGAAACCAGATTTTGGGATATGAGTTTGCCAGCTTTTATACTAATGTAGTATCACTTTTGAAAAACAAAAGCGAACCACTTTTTTTTTTTATCCCAAGCAAGCATATTTCTTCTCTGCCTATTTAATTGTGTAAGTATGAATAAACAAAGACCATGTACAGTTGATTGGTCCATGAATGAGGCCTGCCACAAAAAGTGAATCCTAACATATGTACTATAGTTTCAGTTTGGGTACATGTGCTGCACAAGGGCTTGACCAATTATATAAAACTGTTTTTGACTCATGATGATTAAGAAAGCAAGTTTTTTTTCCCCCCCATGGTATGTTAGTCAGATATAAAGGCTGTTTTGGTTGTTCTTCCATGAGGTTGAACATAAACTTGAGTGACTGTGCTCTAAAAATTTCACACTTAAATAATTCTTTCTATACTCACAGCTATAGTTCAACTACTCCAGAAATAAATTCTATTTTCAAAATCAGTATCTAACTCATTGAACTTGTTGGCCGCCAAGTTTCTAGATGGCACTGGCTAAACAGGGGGCGGGGGAGTAAGAAAACACAGGAGTAGGCCTGATTCTTGTTCCTTGTCTTTTAGACTCACTAAAACTTTGTTTTGTTCATAAAATTTATATTAAAATGTGAATGTATATGATTGGGGTCCTGTATTTCTTTTTGTAGATAAAATTACAACATTAATTAGTCTGAAGCTAAGAACACTTAACATTTTATGGCTAAAGGTTATCACATTGGTGTATTTTGGCATACTTACCTCTCCTACATGCAGACGTGAACCTGAATCTACTTTATTCAGTCTCCTGAAAAGCTGTCAGAATGATCCTTCTAAAGTGTAAGTCAGATCTTTTCATCACACTTAAAATTCCAGCTGTATAGTTTTTTTTTTTTTTTTTTTATGTTTATTTGTTTTGTTTTTCGAGAAAGGATTTCCTGTGTGTAGCCTTGGCTTTCCTGGAACTTGCTTTGTAGACCATGCTAACCTCAAAGTCACAGAGATCTGCCTGCCTCTGCCTCTACCCAGCTTGAGCTGGTTTTATGTGATTATCTTCTTCATCTACTGTCTCCAGAGCCTATCTATCAAGTCATGACTCTTTGCTTCCTGCCAGCCCTTGGTACTACTCACTATTTTGCTTTTTGTCTCCATGAATTTGAATTTTCCTGTGCTTTATAGAAGTAGAATTCTATCTTTGCCTCTTTGTGTTTGGCTTATTTCTTACAACTGTTTTCAGGATTTATCTATTTTATAACATGTAACAAATTTCATTCTTTTTTGTGACTAATACTCTCTTGTGCACGCGTGCACATGTGTGTCCAGGTTTGTGTGTTTATGTGTTTATTCTTTCACGTGATCATTTATGTTTGTATTGCCACTTTCTGTCCATGTACATGATACTGGTGTGAACATGAATATATAAGTACCTGCTCAAGTTTTTGCTTTTAATTTTTTTTGTGTATATGCCCTGAAGTAGAACTGCCATGTCATGTGGTAATTATGTTTTTAATATTTTAATAGTTCGTCATAGTGGCTATGTTTTTCTTTCTTAGCTTATAAATCTATTTAAAATTTATAGCAATGTTGTTGTTTTTTTAATTTGTTTTGTTTTTTTGTTTTCTTAAGAGGCAGAATTTAATTATGTAGCCCAGACTGGCTCTAGCTCAGGCTGTTTCTCCCCGCTTTGTCTTCCAAATGCTGGGATTATAATGGGTGCCTAGCCTAACTTGGCTTTGACAGGACAATTATATTTACAGGTTCATTGTCCTTCCTATGTAATTTTATCAACATCAAAAATTACATTTTTAAATGTTGTATGTACACTATGTTTTGTTTTATCTTTTGAAGCAGGATTTCATGTAGTCTAGGCAGGTCTTTAACTCTCTGTTTATGAATGGATTGCTTTGAACTCATCTTCCTGCCTCCACCTTCCAAGTGCTAGGAGTACAGATATATGGCACCACGCCTGCTTTCACTCGGTGGGACAGTTGATCTACATCTTCCACATACTTGGTCTTTAAGTAATTGTTACATTTTGTTGTTGTTGTTGCTGGGAATCCAACCTAGGGCCACATTCCAGCCAGGTAAGTACTTTATTATTGAACCATATCTTTAAGCTAGGGTTTTTATCTTTTCAGAGGTATTTGTATCATGTTTTTTAACTGGTTTCTAGTATCCTTTCATTTCATGTTGAAGGGCAATCTTTAGCACTTCTTACATAGCTGGAATAGTTATAATTAGCTCATCTTGCCCATTGTCTGTGAATGTTAATTTTTCATTCATTTCCAAGGGACAATTCTGTTTTATCAGACACTGACTTTTTAGTTGATAGTCTTTAGTCATTTTTTTTTTTTTCTTTCAGTAGTATATCTATTACCTCATTGCCTTTTGGCCTACAAAGTTTCTGATGAAAAATTAACTGATAATCTTTTTTAAAAAAATGTATTTGAGACTGGGAGGCACTATGTGCCCAGAGTGACCTGGACCTCACTGATGTCAGTCCAGGCCCACATTAAACCTGCCCCTTTTCTGCCTCAGTTCCCAGTGCCAGGATCACTAGTGTGTACCACTGTACCTAGCTAATTGATAATCATATTTAGAAACCTTTCTGAGTGAGTTGTTTTGATGCTTTCAAGATTTCCCTTTTTGCCTTTATTTTTTGGGTCTTGTGAACCATATGAATGTCTCAGTCTGGTTTTCCTGGGTTATCATTCTTAGTTCATTGCACTTCCTGGGTTTGTAGATCCATGTCTGTCTCCTGATTTGGAAGAGTTTTATTCAAATAGTTTCTGTCATCCCTTGGCACATGTGGGATCCCACAATACTGATTGCTTGGTTGTGTCATTTAAGTCAATTAAATTATTTACTTCAGGCTCCTCTCCCTTCTTATTCCTTAGATGCAATTTTAAGTGACCTGTTTTCAGAGGCACTGATAATGGAGCGTAGGAATGTGGGTTAGTGGTAGAACACCTGCCTAGCTGCATGATTGAAGCCTTAGGTTTAATTCCCAGAACCAAAGAAACTGCTGATTTTTAATTTAAATCTGCTGTCAATGCCTCTAGCTGATACTCTGTTTATGTATTGTTTTCTGATTCCTCTCAATTCTTTGACTCAATCTGTTTGTTCTTTGCGCACACTTAAGACCCTTGACTTAAAATCTGTTTTTTTAGTACAGTTTTCTTTCTTTGCACATCTTAAAATTTTGTTGAAAGTTTGGCAGTTGAAGCCTAGTGATAGGACTTAGTGGTTGAGTCTCTTGCTGCTCTCACAGAACAAAGAAATCCAGTTCCCAGCATTCACAGTGGACAGCTTATAGCTACTTGCCGATAGCTAGCTCTATGGGATCCAACATACTCTTCTGGACTCCATGGACACTTGTATTCAAGTGCACAAACTCTTCCATACACACCTACACACATACTTACAAAATAATAAAAATAAATCTTTAAAAATTGTTTGTTTTACAAGCAAAAAAACCCCCCCAAAAAACAAAAAAAAAAAAACCACTTCTCTTAAATTTGCTATGTGTTAAAACAGACCACATTATAATAGCAAGGCATGTTTTCAGCCTGAGACCAAGCTGGTGTGAAGGGTTAGTGTGTTCTCTGGTCTCTCATTTTTATGTTGTCTTTGTATGTTCTTTTTTCAGTTCCTCTCTGTATATAGCTGCTTGTTTTGTTTACTATTTATTTTTCTTTTTTAATGTGCTCATATGTGTATGCACACTTGTGTATGTTCATGTGAGGAGTACAAACCCACACAGGCATTTTTTTTTTTTATGGGTGATGGGTATTGATTTCAGCTCCTCATGCTTGAGGGGCAAACATTTCACTTGGCTCCAAAGAAAGCTTCTCTTATGGCCTGTGTTGGCCTAGAGTTCCTAATTGGCTTGCCTTCATCTTCCAAGAATTAAGATTAGAAGCATTTCTTTCTATCATTCCTGGATGGTGTCTTCATACTCTTTTGCGTTCTTCACGCCATAACCTCATGTTCAGGTAGTCCCTCTGTTTTCTAGTTTCTCTGCAGCTTGCTTCCCATGGTTTTTCCCAACATGAGATCTCAGCAGTTTTGTTTGCCTCTAGGTGAACTCTTAAGTTCTGAGAAATAGACTTGTCAGTCAGCAGTCCCTCAAAGGGATAGAAAGTTGCAAAAATAAGGTGTTCCTGCAGTTTGACTGCAGGTATTAACAACTGGGCTTTTGCTCCTAAATATGACTTGCTTAGAGCAAAAGTCAGTAATGCTAGTATTTGTATTTTATTCTCTTTCTCTTTAAGTAGTTTGAATATGTCTTATTTATCTTGCTGTGGATCTGTAAGTTTATTCTTCATCCAGCATGGTGAAATTCTAGCTCCTATTTAAATGCTAAAATATTTGGTAATAGTTATTAATCATTGAGGATTTGTTCCTTTCTTCTACTTGGTTACTTATTATCTTCACATTGACTAATGTCTAATGTTGCCTCCAATAATCCTGTTAAAATCATCTTGTGATATTTTTTTTCCATTTATTGTACTTTGCTGTTTGTTTTGTGAATTTGTCTGTTGGTCATTGTCCTTTCCGCCCCTGGCTGGTTATATAGTTCCTTGCCTTTATGTAGTGAATTTTAGAGATTCGGGACTCCAGTGTCCCTATGAAGAGTTCTGGTTTTTACTTTAGTGGGACACTATCATGGAGGACTTGTACTACACAGCAAACTTCTCAGCTCTGTTTTCAGCTTTCAGATACTACTGTTATTGGGCTTCTTGAAATTCAGAAGGTCAGGCAGGAAGTTGGTCAGAGTTGATCCTCAGTTGTATTTATCTCCTGTGGTCTTTTCTCCCCCAGTTCTCCTCTCCAATTTTATAGCTCCTTGGCCAGCCCTAGGTTAGCCCTAGTCAATATTCCTTGAAGCCTCTGACCAGTGACATTGTGGGGTTTTGCCATCCTGTAATGAATGGGTTGAAAGTTAACCCAAAAATCTCTCTCAGTTCTGTTTTTGATTGCAGTGACTTCTCTAAATTTTGAAACTTTTTTTTTAATATATAGTGCATATAATTGTGGTAGGTTATTTTCTCATAGGTGAAAGCCAGAACTCTCTTACTCTTAGCTTTTAATAACATTTCAGTTTTTATTTTCCCAATGCCTATAGCTAATAGATCTTTATTCCATCCTCTTAAAAAAACTAGTTGTATTAGTACTGTTAACAGGTATTTTTCTACTTGCTTCTGCTTAACCCATATTGCAAATTGAGAATTTGAGATTTTAGTTTTGGGAGATAGTTTTTAATTCCATTTGTTCTAAAGATAGGATTATATGTTCATAATAGTTTCATTTAGAAATTTGAAGGTGAGTTCTATTTCTTTTCAGCCCAAATTTGTTGTCAATGGAACCTGTTACTCAGATGGTTTTTGAGAAGGGCCATCTGGGTGTGTATGTGTACATCCTTGTGTGTGTGCACGCACGTGCACGCTTGTATTTGTGTACACTCGGGCACATCTGTATTTGCATGTTCTGTAACTGACACTGTTTTATGATGTACAGGAGGCTTTTTATTTTAATTTTCTTGAGACATGTTTTCTCTGTGTGTAGCCCTGGCTGTCCTGGAACTTGCTTTGTAGACCAGGCTGACCTCAAACTCAGAGATCTACCTGCCTCTGTCTCCCAAGTGCTGGGATTAAAGGCCTGTGCCCCCATGTTTTGTTATACAGGAGTTCTTATGCATGGTAGCTCATACCTATGATCCCAGCAAAGGGGGGCTAAGCCAGAAGAATTGCTGCAAATTTAAGGCCAACCTGGACCTATATTGTGAGTTCTAGGCTAGTCTGGACTACGATGTTCAAAAAAGTATTAGTCATACCAAAGCTTTAAGATTTAAAATGTGGTAAATTATCTTATTGAAATTAAAGCCTAGTCCTTTGCAACTTATATTAAGACCAGTAGCTGATCTTGAGCTCATCTTGAATATGATCTTGATCAAACATGTGGAAGTGATGGCTGAAAGGAGATGGTCTTGTGTAAGAAGAGAGGGATGGTTTTTGGTCTTGAAAGAAAACACCCTGCTTCTATGATGTTTCATGTGAAGACTCACTTTGAGGTCATGCATATTTGGTTTTTCAATAGCTCTGTAACCTTTGCCAATTTGTAATAATATGGGGTATAAATAAATAAATCATGTGTGTTGAATTTCCTTATTTGTAGAGTAAAGGTGATGCTGTCTTTCCTAACTACACTTCTGGCTCTTTCCTGAGAATATAGAGCAACCATACATGTGGAAGCACCTTGAGGTGAAGGACTGTTTGATATTTCATCAGATCCTCTATAGCTAAATAGATGATCCTCTGAAAATGACTTAAGGATTTTGGATTGCTTAAATGGAAAGGAGTATTTTGTTCCTATTATGTGAATAGTGAACTGTTGAAGACTGAGAAGCTCAAAAACAAAAGCACTGAGTTGTGTTGTACAAGTAGAAGAGTGTGGAAGACAATTTACAGTGTTTATGATCAACAAGAGATTATTGTGTACTTTGTATTCTCTGTTGTGTCCAATCTAGGAGACCTCTTCAACTGTCACAAATGATTATACATACAAAACGTCCACTTTATTTGGTTGTGGAGACAATCACTTTGCAACTGGACTGATGAAAAACAGTCTGACTGAAGCCTGTGTTCTTTAATAGAAATGTATTGCAAAAAAAGAAAATCTGGGAAAGGATGGGAGCAAGTAAGGCAAAGGGCATAGGCAATAAGGAATTAAGAAAGATAAGGATTGAGCTTCTTGTCAGATGACCAGGCAGAAGCCAATGTGATTAGTTGTTGAAATTGAATATAAATTGAGCAAAATAGAGTAGTGAAGCTGCCTGACTCAGAGTAAGATGTAGGGGCACAGGCTTCTAGATCTTGTTGCAGAGAGGTTCATTCTGACAGCACATAATTTGCATTCTTGTTCCATGAGAGAAGAGGTTCATAGATGGGCACATATTCTCACAGCCTTGAACCATGAACTGGAGTTTTCCACCTTAAAGGGGTAAGAGACTGTTATTAGCAGAAAGCTTCTCTCAACCTTATCCTTTATACATGGTTTCTAGTGTGCCCGTGCAGGATGACTAGGACTTCTGTGTGGATATTTTTCTCTCCCCTTCCTTTTGTCTGCTTTCTTTACCAGCTACCCAATTATGTTGTTTAGGTCTTTAGTTTTTTTTCCTCTTATGGTAAAATTTCACCAATCTTGCTTTCTTTTGACCATGCTACTCTCTTTCCATTATCCTTTCCTACAAATCTCCAGTGATCTGGCTAGCTTACTTTTCTCTCAAAGATGAAAAATTCTCTTAATAAAATTCCATAGCCTTTTCTATGTTTTTTTTCCCCCTTCCTGCATGAACTTGATACTGTTTACCGGTTCTTATTGCTCTTCTTTCAAGGTTTTCCCTGATTTTTCTGTCTATTTCTGAGTTCAGTTACCTATACTGACCTAAGTCAAGTAAATTCCCTTTCCACTTAAGTGATGATCATCTCCATGCAGATAGGCCAACAATGAAAATTTACTGTCCTAAATGGAAATCTACTATTCTCCCTGTATCTACTTGCTTTTTTGATTGACCTTACTCTGCCATTGAGTCTTGGATGACTTCACTTTGACCAAACATTTATTTATTTTCTTATTCCTCTACTTGCCAAACCCCAAAGAACTTGGCTGGCTTTCCTGTTGACATTGTATATTTCTGACTTTGGCTTTTGTGTTTGGTTTTGGCATGTCTCTGCAGAATGAATCAGTAGTTCTCTATATTTCTGGCATTTTGTTGGTGCAACATGAGCATATGTTTTTAGTCTTTTTAACATTTATTTTGTGTGTGTGGCCACATGTGTATGAAGGCCAGAGGACAACTTGTAAAAGTTGGTCCATAAGAATTAGTCCTCTTTTTCTACCACGTGGGTTCCTACACTCTTAGGTCATTAGTGTTGATAGGCAGGTCCCTTAACTCACTGAGCCATTTTGCCAGTCCTAAGCATTAGGATTTTTAAAAGCTGCTCAGATGGTTCTATGTATAGCCTAAACTAGGTACTACTGTATTGTACATGTTCTTTCTGTATATACTCTCCTCTCTTCTCCAGACTTACCTGCTTTCCTATGAGCTTTCAGCACTCATGTGCTTTGCCACCTCTTCTCAGCCTCCCAAGTACTGAGAAAAGACACGTATTACCTTGCCACTTTTTTTTTTTTTTTTTTTTGCAATATTTCTTCTGTTAGACTGAAATCTTTCTGTAGAGTCTATACTTGATGCATCTTTTCTTTAAGGCTTGTGGTATGTATTGTTGATGTTTATTCAATGATGGTTAAATTCACAGTTATAAGAAATGTAGGGGAAACATTTCTATCTAGGTGGGTTGGACAGACCAGAGACGGGCAGTATGGTTCGTGGGATAAATGTAACCAAGACCTCTTGTTTTGGAGATGAATATTAAGTGTGTAGGAGTTGAGAGATCTGAGAATATCCACTCAGTCATGTTACCTTGTGCACATAGGTTTGTAGACAGTTGATTAGTTTATTCAGTGTCTACTAAATGCCTACCATTTGTTATACCTTGTGCTGTGTCCTAGGAAGATTTAATCACAAACACACTAGACAGTTGAGTCAGTGTATAGTCAGTATATGAGGAACAACTTAAAGGTTTCTTAATCTTCAAGAAAGCCTCTTTTCAATTTTCTTTTTCCTCCCTAAAGAGCCTTAGGCTTGTCAGTACCTAGAATTCTGCTCAATGTTTGAAGAAATGAAGTTCATCTGAATCCCCAAGTTCATTGATCCCTATCATTCCCCCATCCCCATATTTATTTAAGAGATGATGTGCTCTGGCAAGTTCCTACTTCTCAGAAAGTTCTTATTACCTTCAAAGATCTTCTTTAACATGCACTGCTGGGAATTTTGAGTGGTGCATATTCCTTCTCCACGAAGACATTTTCCATCATCATTCATATAAGCACATGTGTGGCAATTTATTACTACGCCTGAAATTCGAAAAAAGCCTGATTAAATTTCCTGACACCTGGTTAAGTCATTTGGGGAGTGGGGGTTTTAAGAATAGTAGATCACCTACAACACATTTCTTAGTTCTGGCAGTACTGGGGATTGAACCTCTAGGGCCTTAGGTATATTAAGCAAGTTTTCTGCCACTGAGGTACAATCTCAGACCCTCTCCCAGTCTTAACTCGTCCTTCCCCTTTTCATTATTGAAGACAAGGTCTTGCTTAATTGCCCAGGGATGGGATAACAAATCTAAACTACCATATTCTCTTTTCTGAATCAGAGAAAATGCCTTCTCTCGTCTTTGTAACCTTTCTTGCTGATGAATATTAAATTTATGAGTGACTTTTACTTTAATCTCTATATCCCACTCTTTCTTTTTTTTTTTTTTTTTTAAATTTTTAAGTAAATGTCCTGTCATGTTTTACTTCATAGGAGAAAACTGTTATGTAACTAAACCTCTGTCATACTCTCATACCCCAAGACAAAAACACTTGGGGTCAATTTAACTAGTAAGTAAGCAATACTTGAAGGCTAGAATGCTGCCAGCACTGTAAAGAATGCATTTTTCTTCTCTCTCCTTTTTCCTTCCCTCCCTTCCTCTGTTCCTCCTTTTTCTCTCTCTCCCTCTTTTTTCCATATTCCCCTCCCTCAATTCCTTCTTTTGTTTCTCTCTGTGTGTGGGTGTGTGTGAGAGGCAGAGTGTGTTTGATATAGGGGTTGAGTATTTAGCCCAGTCTAGCCTGAGTCATACCAGTTCTGCTTCAGCTTCCCAAGTACTGAAATAACAGGCATGAGCCATCAGGCACAGTTTCCATTTTCACTTACCTTGAAGATCAGTGACAAAATTCTGAAATGTTTCTGTAGCCTTATCTCTAGTTCTAATCCTCTAGCAAGAAGCATAGCTTTAGACAGATCTAAGTTTAATTTACTACTTTGTAGAAATTTGACACTTGGGATAAGAGTTTCACCTTTACTCATCTAAAGTTTTAGAATAATTAACATAATTAGGTGAAATGAAATATTTTTATCTGATAGTAATTAGAGACATGAAACTTTAGACTTTTCTTATCTTTCACAGTCAATGGGCCATGTGTAAAAGTCAGAACAATTTGAGGGAGTCAGTTTCCTTCTTCCATGGATGCCAGGTATTGAATTCAGATTGTCAAGTCAGCTTCAGTTGTCACCACTGAGTCCTTTTGCTAACTCTTCATAAGTTCTTCTGAACAATGGAATTGGAGAGTCTAGTAGCATTTTGTATTAGTTAAGAGAGTTCTCCAAATTGAGTTACATTTAGGGCCACATGAAACCTGAAAAATTCTTTCTGATATTGTGAAGAAACAGGGTCTTATGCATGTGTGTTTTGTTTGTTTGTTTGTTTTGTTTTTTGTTTTTGAGAAGTTTCCCTGTTGTAGCCCTGGCTGTCCAAAACTGGCTCTGTAGACCAATCTGGCCTTGAATTCATTGAAATCCGTCTGCCTCTGCCTCCCAAGTATTGGGACTAAAGGCATGCACCACCAGCATAAGGCTGAACCTTTTATGACATGTTAATGATTCTTTTTCACTGTTTCCCTAAAATTTAGTTCCTGATGTGTTTTTCCCCTTTTCCTTCCCCCCCCCCTTTCTTCTTCTCTCTTCCCTATTAAAAACAAGAGTATTGCTCAGTTGTCTAGGCTTTTGCTGAATATTGTAGCCCAGTTTGGCCTCAACCTCTAATCAAACAATAATACCCTTCCATTGTGGCTTACCTGAAGATGTGCTTGGAAATGCCGTACTCATACCATCATTTGCCTTCTCAGCTGAAGACCCTTCGCCAGAAGCCTCGCCTGCTTCCTCGGCCTTTTCATTTGAAATGTCACTTGCAGCTGCTTCTGAGGTCACGTCATTTGAATCGCCTGAAGACTGTTCATTTGAAGTGTGTTCGCCTGAAGTGTGCTCGCCTGAAGACTGTTCTGAAGAGTGTTCACCTGTAGCATCCTCACTTGATTCATGTTCACTTGAACTGTGATCATTTAGGCTTTTCTCACCTGAAGGAGTTTCATATAAAGCCTCGACATCTGAAGGGTTTGCAAATGAGAAATACTCACTTGAAAGTTGCTGAACAGAAGCTTGCTTGTCTGGAGATTCAAGAAGCTCATCAGGCTGACCTGGTGGTACTCCTAGGATAGAGAAATAGAAGAATAATGAAAGATGGGATCAAGACTGATCTGTGGAGACAGACAAGTGGGAATGTTAGGTGTCCTGGTAGGTCTCTATGAGACACTTAAAGGTCATTCAGATGTGGCTAAGATCAAAAACTTAAGTGACACTATATGTTGGAAAGGATGTGGAGAAAGGGAACCCTCCTCCATTGCTGTTAGGAATGTAAACTTGTACAACCACTTTGGAAATCAATCTGGTGCTCTTTCTCAGACAATTAGGAATAGTGCTGCCTCAAGATCCAGCTATAACATTCCTAGGCATATATCCAAAATATGCTCAAGTACACAACAAGGACCTTTGTTCAACCATGTTTGTAGCAGCTTTATTCGTAGTAGCCAGAACCTGGAAACAACCCAGATGTTCCTCAGTTGAGGAATGGATATGGAAATTGTGGTACATTTACACAGTGTAATACTACTCAGCAATTAAAAACAAGGAAATCATGAAATTTTCAGGCAAATGGACGGGACTAGAAAATACCGTCCTGAGTGAGGTATCCCAGAAGCAGAAAGACACATGGTATATACTCACTTAGAAGGGGATACTAGATCTATAATATAGGATAAACATACTAAAATCTGTACAACTGAAGAAGCTAAGCAAGGACGAGGACCATGATGATCTCACTCAGAAAGACAGATGGATGGACATTGAAAGGAGGAGGAAACAGGACAGGAGCCTACCACAGGGCGTCTGAAAGACTCCACCCAGCAGTGTATAAAAGCAGATGCTGAGACTCATGGCCAAACTTTGGGCAGAGTGCAGGGAATCATGAAAGAAGGAGAGTTAGTCAGACCTATAGAGGATAGATGTGCCACTCAACAGAACCAAAATAATCTGGGCCCAGGTGTCTTTTCTGAGCCTGATGCTCCAACCAAGGACCATTCATGGATATAACCTAGAACCTCTGTTCAGATGTAGCCCATGGCAGCTCAGTATCGAAGTGGGTTCCCTAGTAAGGGTATAGTAAGGGTAGCAGGGACTATCTGACATTTCAGTGGCTGGTTCTTTGACTTCCTCACTCCACCCCGATGGAACAGCAGCCTTGCCAGGCCACAGAGGAGGACATTGCAGCCAGTCCTGATGAGACCTGATAAGCTAGGTTCAGATGGAAGGGGAGGAGGACCTCCCCTATCAGTGGATTTAGAGAGGGACATGGAAGAGATGAGGGAGGGGACTACAGCTGGGATACAAAGTGAATAAAATGTAATTAATGTAAAAAAGGTCATTCAGATGTTGTGAAGTGTCATCTAAAGACTCCAGGAGACCAGGAAAAACAAAAGTGTTTAAATAAAAGTTCAGAGATCACTGCTAAGACTTAAAGACACAAGAATTACATGTAGGATCTTTTCACTTAAGCTTGAAAAGCACAGAAATGTAAATGAATGTCCCTACCTGAGAAAAGCAGAATCAAAAATCAAAGAACCATCATTCATGTCATCAGAGGTCAGCCACCAACCCTTCCTCCACCAACCCTTCCTCCAATTCCCTTATGGGTAAAAGGTAAGACTAGAGAGGAATAGAGTAGTCAAATAATTCTCTTCCCTCTCATCAGGGTCTGGCTGTGAGATCCAGGCTGCCTTCAAGCTATAGAAGATCTGCTTTTGCCTCGTGAGCGGTGCAGTTATAGGTGCCACAAGCTGTCCTAGGCAGCTATCCATACCAAGTAACTCCAGCCTAAATTGAGATTTGGTTCTTTTTTGCTGTTGGTGATAGGGATGAATTTTACTCAACGGTTAGAAAACTTTCATCCTTGGGTACAGTGAATGTTAAATTAGAAGCTGACAGCACAAAATTAACTTACAGAAGTTGCCAGATGGGATTTGAGTGGTATTGGTAAAGTGCTTTCTTCCCAGTCACAAATGTTGAAAGAAGTAGGAGCATGTTAGGCTGGTGGGCCGTTCAACTTGTGCATCCATAACCAGAAGAAATCAGTTGGTATAGCAGTTCTCAGAGCTGTTCTTGCTTAGTTAACTCTTGATTCTAAGTCAGGTTGGTTTGGGTAACTAAAACTTGGCTTCAAGGGGGCAGAAATACTTTAAAAGAAGCCCCCTCTGGTGTCCACCTAGTGTTTCTTTTTAAAGAGAAGACTTACTTACCTCTGGCTGATCCGAGCACATAAAGACTCAGTAAGATTAACTCCTTCATTCTGATTTGGGAAAAGAGATTTCTGGTGGGCACACTCCAGAGCTGAGAACAAACTGAGCAGACACTCCCAGTGTTGAGTCAGAACCTCTGGGAATTCTAGAACTTGAGAAATAACCCATGTGTTCTCACAATGGGTTGTGTCTGTTATGTCCTGTTCAGGCAGGCTGGCCTGTAACCCATGGCAATGCCACTAATGAAGACTCATTAGTATTTTCTGTGTGTAGAATAGTGTATTAGGAGTAGCTTCCAAAACAAACAAAAAAATGTTATCAGAACACACATGTTCTTTTAGTGAATTGTAAAAGATAGCACTTTTTCTTAGAGGGTTGTGAGCAGTGAACTCTACTAACCTGCTTACTTTCTGTTTGACTCTAAGTAAGCATTTCATAGCTCTGGTCTGTACTCTGGAAGACTGATCTCTGCTGAGGTTAGCTGAGTACTGAGTGGGTTTTCCTTCAGACTGCAGTTAGTCATAAGATTGGAGGGCAGAAGGTACCATAGTTGCTACAGGCTGAGTCTTTACACTTTACCTTTTGGGTGTCCTTTCTCCAATGACCCCAACTTTGACTAGGCTATAGGAATGTGTTTTCCCTTCCTACTTCAACTTAAGGATAATAATGGTTTCCAGCTTCTGATGACTGTGTGCCCCAACTTTTGCTTTTTAAATTTTCTATTCAAGGGACAGTTAAGTACCTTGACCTGTGATTTTATCCAGAAGCTAGCCAAACTGAGTAGATGAGGCGAGACATCTGTCTGCAATAAAGCTACAACTCAGGGTGGCAAAGATCATCTAGCCACCATCTCATGTCCCACTTTTGGAACCACTTTGTTCCATGTTCTACTGAGTATTGGACCTAAACTTAGGTTATGATTATCTAAATTTCTTTCCCCCATCAAACTTTTAAGCCCTTGTAAAGTAGGGACCTTGTCTGTCTTCACCATTGTAGTTCTAGTACCTGGCAGCAAGCTTGCTATGTAATAGGTACATAGTAAATTTCCTGAGGGAAGGAATGGATAACTTATCTTTTCTGGATCTTCCTCTGCTAGCTTATAACTTTTATCATCTGAAGGAAATGATCATTCTGGGGTTACCATTTCTAAAGTAAGCCAAGGAGGCATGTTGTATCTCATCTGTCTTTTTTTTTTTTTTTTTTTTTTTAACTATATAGAAGTAGTAAGCTATAGAGACCTGAGCTGAATGGTCATTTAGGCTAACATATTCTACCTTGCTTGAATTAGAAGTCCAAATTAGGATTTTTGAACTTCAGACTGGACTCTAAAACTCAACATCCTGATATTGAATTGCCACTGATATTCTGACTCTGTTCAATCAGTTACTGGCTCTGTCACAAACTCAGATACACAAGCCTGGGTGCCACCCTATCTTCTCCCTCATTTCACACATGATAGTTTGCAGTCCCCCCTTTTTTTTTCACCAGTGCCATTCATGTTCCCCATCTTTCTCCTTTTGCTTGAAAAGAATAGGGTTTTTTTTTTTTATCAGAACATTTATTTATCTATTTATTTACTTACTATTTGTTGTTGCTGCCAGGAATGCTTTGGACACAGGACACTGGATCTTTGATGGTTTAAAGGGAATCTGATGCTTCTCACTAGTTGATCTGACCAAAGCTTGCAATAGTCTTGAAGGAGAAACAAATAAATGATGCATTTATGGGGACTTATCAATATAATATCAACCTTAGGAAGGGAAGAACCAATTTGATATACATTTATTAGTGTTGTGAAGCTACATTTATTCATTGTTTTTTTTTTTTTTTTTTTTTTTTTTTTTTTTTTTTTTTTTTTTTTTCTGGTCTGGAGGTAAGCCCAGAGCCTTGAGCATGCTAAATAAGTAGTCAGTCTACCTATTGAGCCTCAAGCTCCTCAACTCTACAGTGTGACACGTGAAAGGAGTAGGATTTAACTGATCTAGCATTTAGAAGGTAAATCTCTGTTTTTAGGAATTAGTGACAAAACAGGCAGATGTACCCTATAGCTAATTAATTAGAATGTGTGGGTTGCTGCAAACGAAAACAGTGCTTAAAAGTATGTAGGAAAGTGGCTTCTCAGCCCACCTATTTCAGACTCAACTAACTGTCTTAGGTATTCTGATTTCATGCATCTAGCTAATGAGCTGATCCCATAGCCCTTAAACGAGAGTTATACAATATGGTGAAGGGTCTAGTGGAGGGAGCACTATGTATTAGCGTTCAGACTAATATGAGCTATCACACTAACACCTGTAGGATTGCATATGTTTTAATACTGAATTGGTAGATTTTCAGTTTTCCTATCGTTATGAATACTAGTGGGCTGGCTCTACCAACATGCATCGTTTGAGAAATTGGGTGGTTCTAGAGGAAAATCCTGTAGAATTTGATATTTGACTAAATCCAGAGTGAGTTATTTGCTTGTTGTGTTTGTTAGCCTAATGTGAAGGTTGGCCCCTACCCCACACCATCCCACCCCCCATGGCTATTCAGAGAAAGTGTCTAATATGAACACACTGCTGAGAATCACTATACAGTTAGGAAGTATCCAACACAAAAGAATCTGAAACATGCAAAATCAGTATCACAAACAGGTAAAAAGATCTTTAAATACTTATTGTTAGTGTTTCTAACCAGACAAGATAAAGAGGTTCTGGAAATTTTACAGAAAAGATTAGAAATAAAGTAATAGATGGGTGTCAGGAGCCCTACAGGAGGAGCAGCAGAACAGCTCTAGAAGTCATGAAATGTGGTCCCACCAGTTAGCACATCCATGGTGGGTTTGCATTAGGAGGCAGAGCCCAGAGGACCATGTGTCCTGATGACATCATGCTGCTACGGAGCATAGCTCTGCTTGTTGCCTTGTGGTCACCACATCCCTCATCATATATTAGTTCTGTGAGAACTATAAGGGGGCTGCCCTCACTGGGCAGTATCGCTGGCAGTCACAATAAACATGCTTGATCTCTTTGAGGCATTACTGCTGGAGCAGATTAATAATGTACCACCACCCTTAAAAGGAACCTTCAGATGTAGATTGTTAGCAACAGTTACTACCCTTAGAATTTGGAAAAGTATTGCTTAGCAAGGTTTTATTTTTGCTAGTGGCTCTGAGGTAGAAAATCTTAGGGGAAAAAATAGATTGTCTAGCAAGGTTAGGTAAAGATGTTTTTGCTATTGGTTGTGATGTAGAAAATTTTAGAGAACAATTTGAAGTTCAGAAAAGTATACTCTTAGTAATAGTAAAGCCAGGGACTTTTTGAGGTTGGTGAAAGACAATAACCCAGAATAGCACTTGCTGACATGACATTCTCAAGCTTGGCCAGTGACTGAAATGACAATTTCCTTATTCTTGTTTTTGCCTGCAGCTTCCTTATATGGTTTAATAAAAACTATTAATGAGTAGATGTACACCTTAGAGATTTAAACTAGAAATGGATGATTTTTTTAAAATAAAGATTTATTTATTTAATATATATGAGTGCTCTATCTGCATGTATACCTGCATGCCAGAAGAGAACATCGGATCACATTATAGATAGTTGTAAGCCACCAATGTGGTTGCTGAACTCAGGACCTCTGGAAGAACAGCCAGTGCTCTTAACAGCTGAGCCATCTCTCCAGCTTCTGGCTGATTGTTTTTACATAAAAGTTTAAGTTTGTGATTCTTTTAAGATTTTTATAGGATTACCTTTTAAGATAATTGATTCTTTCTTTTGTAACTACAAATTGCAGCCTGCTGGCAAAGAAAAGCTGGCTGAGAAATTACCTTGCTTGCTCTATTCCGTTAATATATAACAAGTTGCTTATTTACAAATATGTTCTTGGGCATTATTTGTTTTTCACTCAGAGTACCTGAAACACTTGATCTTGTGAGGCTATTGGAGAACATATTTTTTCTTATGTATACTCATTGTAATCCTTAAAGAAAAATAGAATGTAATCACATTGTGATTTTTGTGCTGCTTGAAAGATTTTCCTGGGATATATAAACTTTGGGAAAAATAATAAAAACATGGCTTGGAACTTGCTCTTTGGGGTTTGTTCCATGCATGAAGTGTGTGTGTGTGTGTATAAATGGCGTATAATAAAATAATAAAAACATGGGTTGGAATTCTCTTTGGAGTTTGTTCCATCCACCAAGATGTGTGTATGTTTATGTGTGTAAGGTTGGGTTGGAACTCATTCTCTGGAGTTTGTTACATCCTCCTGTGAGTGTGTGTGATTTTTTTTTCTCTTCTGTCCATTTTAGATGCTTTGCCAGTACCAGTACAAAGCCCATGCTAAAGCCAGTGGTCACTCACGCTTACCGTTAATAGGTGTAAGCCCATATCAGAGAGCTACCAGCCCTAGCCAACACCAGCAATTTAATTCTGGCCCCTTAGTTTGCTACTATCAGTGGAAGCCACTATTCATGACAATCAATTCCGGCCTCCTGAAAGTTGTCTTCAGAGACAGTCTGTTGGGTCACCAGCCAGCAGCCGGCTCTACACCATGCATCAATTACCCCAGTTGATGTCAAAGCTGGCCTTCAATATGTGGGTAATGGCATTTAGAAAATTTTGGGGAAATTTTTAACCCAAATTTCTTTTGTCAGCTTAATTAGAGAAAAGAATTGTGATCTTTTCAGAAGAACAAAGTCTGAAAACAGATGGTTTTGTATATTGAGAGGAATACCAGCATGCTTAAAGAATAGCGTTTGTTTTCTCAGGTAGCAAGTCTGAAGACAGGCAATTGCTGACACTGTGTCAGAGGCCTGAATGTCTGAAAACAACTGTATGAAATTCTTTGGTGCTTCCCCTTCTTGTTCACAGTCACCAGGTGGCAGTGAAGCCTTAGACATGATATCCACAGGGCTAGGCCTTTTATTGCTGTGACAAGGATCACCATCTTAGCTACTTCAAATAATGTCCAGTTATCTTACAGCCCTGCAGGTCAGCAGGCTGGATTGTCTGCTTACTGACCGTGAAGCCAAAATAAAGATGTCAGAGCCGTGTTTTTACTTAGAAAACTGGGGAGAAACCTGCTTCCGTTCTCAGACAGGTTGTCAGAATTCAAGTCCACGCAAGTGTAGGACTTAAGTCCCTGCTTTCTTGAGGGTATAAAGTGGGAAAGAAAATGGAAATGTGGACATTTGTATTGAAAATATTTTTAAAAGTGTAGAAAGTGTAACAGTAAGTCTAAATACAGTAAGTAAACAATAATGTTTTTAGGAAAAACTATTTTGCTTATGAATAAAATGTATTAGTAAGGATCTACTACAGGACATAGGAATTTGTCTCATTAGCTATTTTCAGTAGAAAGGTGTTTAAAGGACTAGGTGCATATAAATGAAGGGGTTAGAAAGAATAGCCACGTATAAGCTAGGCCTTTGACACTGGTTTTTGGGGGAGCTTCTAAAACTGGCCTACCAGGAGAGCTCTCACCACTCACATTCAGGAGCCACCCTGGAACATCATGGAGCTTCCTTAGAAATAAATGTTAGTTTCAGCAGTGGGTCCATCCCTGCATGAACCAGGAATCCACACTTCCACCACCAAGAATTTCATCTATAGCTCTTTACCAGACCAGCCAGTTTGATATTGGCAAAACCATGGCTTTTGGGCTGGTCAGATAGCTCAGTGGGTGAAAGGCACTTACTGCCAGTACCTGCATTTGAGCCCAGGGACCCGTACGATGGAGAGAACTAATTCCCCAAAGTTGTCCTCTGACCTGCACATGTGTTTAATCCTCCTCTCAGACAAAATCAGTGTAGCAATACAAACATCTTGAAAATGTGGCTCTTCTGTACCTTTTCTCTTAATATCATAGGCAGCATCCAGATCTTGAGATATTTGCTAAAAACAAAACAAAATCCTCAAAAGCTCACTTGCTAGTTTTCTAAACATGTGCATCATGAGAAACAGCACAAAGATAGCCTTCATTGCTACATTACAGATAATTGAAATCTAATCATTTTCATTAGCCTAGTTAGAAGTTGCAGTTCTTAGCTTTCCAAAAAGACACATAAAAAGAAGATTTTGAGTGTGTAATCTAATACCTAAGGCCAAAATGATAGTCTCCCATGTTCAGTGTTCCCTCTGCCTAGGGACCTTAATCCTCAAGCTCTTGGCCTAAGTTTGATCATGCTTCTCTGAGTCTTCAT